TCTGATTGACAACTTAGGGAACCACCATGTTGTACCATAATATGTCCCTTTGTGCTCCTAAGACGCACACCACCATGCCCCTGGAAGTGTTATATAAAAGCTAAGTGGTATTATTACTTGGAGGCACTTCTATATTCATTTGCTGTAATAGAGTAACAGGAGTGTCATCAGTCATTTCCAGTCTTCTGGTTTTAAGGTACCTTTTATTTTGAGTGAGTTTTGAGCCCAGAACTAGATATGTAATTTTCTAGAGAATAACTGTGTGTTTTCTGTTTTCAGATTCAAGCACTTGAGTGTGCATATGATAATCTTTGTCAAACAGAAGGAGTCACAGCTCTTCCTTACTTCTTAATCAAGTATGATGAGAACACGGTGCTGGTTTCCTTGCTTAAATGCTACAGTGATTTCTTCCAAGGTCAAAGGACAAAGGTCAGATAAACTTTGAGCATCATTTTATTATATAGTTTAAAAAAAAAATCTGAAGTTCATGTTGCAATAGACCACTGCAAAATTCAAACTTGTTTAGATTTCCTTAGCCCTTGAAAGGATGTTTAAGAACATTTCCTTATCTCTACCCTCTCCCACCCCTGCAGTTACTGAATCAGCTCCTCCAGATTTTTCTAGCTCTCTACAGCTCAGAGTAATTTTGATAACTTACTGTCTCTCCCTTTTTTTTTTTGAAATGGAGTCTCGCACTGTTGCCCAGGCTGGAGTTCAGTGGTGTGATCTCGACTCACTGAAACCTCCACCTCCCGGGTTGAAGTGATTCCCCTGCATCAGCCTCCTGAGTAGCTGGGATTACAGGCTCCTGCCACCACACCCAGCCAACTTTTTGTATTTTTAGTAGAGACGGGGTTTCACTTTGTTGGCCAGGCTAGCCTTGAACGCCTGACCTCGTGATCTACCTGCCTCAGCTTCCTAAAGTGCTGGGATTACAGGCATGAGCCACTGCACCCGGCTGATACCTTACTCTCTATTAGTGTTAAAGTTATTTCCATTTCCCTCCTGATGTATTTTATCCCTATGTTTTTATTTTTATTCCTCATATCACATTCCTGGACACTTAGAATCTTGTTGCCATCTTGTACAACGCTACTATAGAAGAATCTCCTTGAACTACCTACATTTAGTATGTCATTTGTTGACCAAGAGCCCAATGGTGTCTTCCTTCTGACTCCCAGCTACCTTTCCTGCCTTATTTTCCACTATTTTCCTGATAAAGCATTATTCCAGCTAATCTTATCTTTCTCCAGAATCTCTGCCCCCTTCCTATCAAATACACCTAAAACCTTTTTTTGTATCTTTCTTTTTCCTCGTGTTGTATCATCTTCCAAAAACATATTCTACTTGTGAAAATCCTAAGAAATTCTCTGTCTTTATTGAAATTCTATCTCCACTGTGAAGCATTTTCATGGTGTGGCCATATATGATCTATCCCTATCTGAAGTCACTGCATTTATTCCCTGATCCTCATTTGCAGGTCTAGTACTTTGTACAATTTCCTTTTTGTGCCATATTAGACTGTAAGCTCCAAGAGGGCAGGGCCCAAGTCTTATGAATTTGTGTCTGCATAGTGTCTAGTTCTTGTCTGAGGCCCTCAATAAAATTCTTTTGAATGAATGAAAGAGTACTGTAAGTGTCTTTTAGAAGTGATCAGATATAGAGGAAGTTGTCTTAGCCATACAGGAGATTATGAATTATGAATTAAAAATAACAAAGATTTATGAGTGTTATAAAGTTGTGAGGTCAAGTAGAATAATTTCCGTAGCCATCTGAATATATCAAAGCTGAAAAAAGAGAAACCTTTAACTGATGGTCTGGTTATTCCTTAGCCTGAACTTTGAATGACTTTTTTTTTAAGCACATTTATAATCAACTACATTTACATTTTATTTTTCAGAGGAAGCCCTTTTTAAATTGAGGACTGAAGATTGAATTTTTATTAAAATTCTTTCCCCCAGGTGATTTCACAAAACTATAGCTAAATTAGTATAGCAGTAAGACCATTAATAATTTAAAGTTTAATCTAGTATGAAGTTCTGTTGTCCATAGCAGGCAGGATTAAATGACCTGTGTTTGGAAGCCACCGTAGGTCAGGTTGTATGTGGTAAATAAGTGGTCCTCCCCAAAATGCAACTTTACCAAAGTAATAAGAGTTTGAATTGTGCTTTATAATTAATATAAAAGGGACTTTCACATACTTGATCATTTTATAATAACTGTGAAACAGGTGTTAGTTATTAGGGTTAGTTAATTAGTATCTGCATTTTCTATTTGAGACTCAAAGTCACATGACCACATTGTCTGATTCCAAAGCCTATGATCTTTCTACCATTCCCTTTACCTTGGGGAAACTGCATAACTTTTCTTTGCCTTAGTTTATCTGTTAAATGTTGAAAATGCTACCTCCTTATAAGGCTTTGTGAGGATTAAACATGATAATGTGAATAAAATGCCCAGCACGTAGCAGATGCTTAGTATGTATCCACTTTCTATATGTTTCAACAGCAGCATATTTTGAAAGACAACAAATCTTTGGGGTCTCCTCTGAAGTGCTCTGGGGGATTCACCAGTCCCTGTCCCTGCCTGTTGGGTTCCGGCGCATTGTCTTTCACTTGGCTAGGGTTGTATCTCAGGAAAGCCTTGGAATTACTCAGCGCATGTCATAAACACCTCTTTATGGGCCAGAAATTTTGAGATACAATTGTATTTGTTATCACACAGCCTAAGGTCTTCTAGAGGAGATGAGACATTGACCAGTGGAAAGTTAAGTAGAAATTCAAGTAATGGAAGATAAGGTCAAAGAAATGATATGGGTGATACTTTGGTTGGTTGTCTATGCCTTATCTTATTGTATAAAAGATCACCAGAAGCCTTGGAGCTTGACAGCTTCATAGGAGTTTCATAGTCTCCATGCTGCCCTTCCTACCTGTGGCCCTGAGTGTTCCCGTCTCTCCTCCACACTGCTGCTTGAGTGCATTTATGTGTAAATTTGATCATGTAACTCTTCTCCTTAAAACCCTTCTAGGGTTCCAGTTGACTTCAGGATAACATTGAAACTGCTTAGCTTGGCATTTGAGGTCTCTTCAGTTCTGGTTTCTGTACATCATTCCAGCTTCATGTGATATTTCCCAAGATACATCCTGTGCTCTGGCTACGCCTATGCCCACCAAATGCCACATGCTTTCCCCCCATCTCTACCTTCAGACACCCCTCTGTCTCCCTTCTGTCACCTGGCTGCTGCCTAACCCACCTTTCTGATTCATCACCCTGGGAAGCACTGGCTGATTGCTTGCACCATTTCATGTCTCTCTTTTGTGTTCTGGTAGCAGCCTCCCTCCTAGCACTGACTGGTCTCCAAAGTAATTGTTGATTTGCTTTTCTGCCTGCCCCATATCCTCAGCCTGTGAGCAACTTTAGCACAGAATCTTGTTTGTCCCCACTCTGCATCCTCAACATTTAGTGTAATGCTGGACGCTTAAGAGACACATGATATAAGAATTCTGAGAGGAGAGAGGGAGAATATGGACTGGTATAAAAAATAAAGAAGTCTTTGGCAGGGGGCAGGGCAGAACCCGAGAGAAATAATTTCTATAAAATCTAGACGTCATCATTTTCACTGGTTCTTGCTTTTACTGCATTAATTTTGTTCACTCTCTTTAGCATAATTCCAGTTTCCCTTTGAGCCATGGTGTTTCCTTGAAGGTTTTCACCCTCTTTTTTCAAAAATAGGCATTCTTTTCAGTATGAACTCCTGCACTTGTGCTCTGGCTTCACGTTTTACTCGATTCTGCCTCCTCCTCCTACTACTGGCACTTTGTTCCCTGAAAAGTCACTTCTCTTTGAGCCCTGTGTCCTCATGTGTAGGATGGAGAAATGTTGGAATCCCTCTGAGTTTCTCTCTTCAACCTGTAATTCTCTTCTGGGTTACCTCATTGTGCCTGCAACTCCAGAGGAAATGGGTTATCTCATTGTGCCTGCAACTCCAGAAACCGTTTCCTCACAAGTAATTCAATTTTCTCCCACCAGCCTGAACCTCCCGAACCTCCCTCTGGATCCCAGGCCGCATTTTCCAGCCGCCTGCTTGCCGCCTCCTGCACTTTATAATCTTTGCCCCAAGGCTGGTTCTCTTCTGGCTTCACTGGCTCAGAATGATGCTGCCTCTATCCCATCACATGAGGCAGAAATCTGGTCATCCTGCCGGACAGTTGTCTGCCCCCTACCACCCCGTGTGTTTGGGATTTCATGTCCTGAACGTCTTTCAGCCTGCCAGCTTGCATTTCTTCTGCCACCACCCCAATCTCTGCTATACTGCAGCAGCTTCCTAACAAGCCTCCTTGAGTCTCCTCTGGGCTTCTCCCGTTCATTCCCACATCATCCCCACAGTTTTCTTTAGAAAAGCAGATCTGATCATGTCACTACCATAATGAAACACCTGAATGACTTCTTCCCTGTGCTCTAAGAATAGGGGCTAAATTCTTTAATATGGCCTACAAGAGTCTGTGTGGCCCAGCTCCCGTGGGGATACAGCCCCAAGTCATTCCATGTTCCCTGCCACATGGCTTTTGCATGCACCTTTTGCCTCGAACTCTCTTCTCTCTCCTTTCTCTAGTTCTACCTCTCCCTTCCCATACCTCCTCTTTGCTTTATTAAGTGCTTACTCTTTCAAGGAAACCTTCCCTGACCTCTATAAAAAGGTTTATTCCTCCTGTTATGAGCTCTTATAGCACTGTGTATCCCTTCTTCTTTTTTTTTTTTTTTTTTTGAGACAGACTTTCACTCTAATTGCCCAGGCTGGAGTGCAATGGCATGATCTTGGCTCACTGCACCCTCCTCCTCCTGCGTTCAAATTATTCTCCTGCCTCAGCCTCCCAAGTAGCTGGGATTACAGGCATGCACCACCACCACTCCTGGCTAATTTTTGTATTTTTAGTAGAGACGGAGTTTCGCCATATAGGCCAGGCCAGTCTCGAACTCCTGACCTCAGGTGATCCACCAGCTTTAGCCTCCCAAAGTGCTGGGATTACAGGCATGAGCCACCAGACCTGACCCATAATTTTAGATTTTCTTGAGTGATCTTTGATTAATATATTTGTCTCCCATTTAAAGGTGAGCTCCACCTGGACAGGTACCCTATCTTTGATTTCCCACCATTGTGTCTACATAGCATAGCATCATGCCTGGTATGAAAATGAAATGGAAAGATGAATTCATTTATAAATGAGTTGTGAGGACTGGAGATTGCTCATGGGAAGCACCTGGGTCAGTGCCTGGCACACAGTAGGCCTTCAGTGAGTAGAGGGTAGCTCTTAGTTTTGGTTCATTTTAAGTTTTGTCTTTAATGTGAGCATTCCGTTGTCTGGTTAAGGCCATGTAGTTTACAAAGGCTTTCCCAAATTTTCTGTACACTTCAATTTGTGTCTAATGAGTTACACACATGGTTACTGGTGTGACAGGAGGCAGAATACAGGGGAAGTATGTGATCTGCATGGCTAATTTAGAGCAGGGGTTCTTAATTTGGAGTAGGGTACAAATGCATAATGTCTGAGAATTTTTTGGAAGCAGTGGATCCTCACCCCAGACAAATACACATCTACACACAGTTCTGCATCTAATGTCAGAGATGCACAGAGCACTGAGACCCTTAGAGGCTGTAGCTTGGAGGAAGATGAAGGAAAAGTCAGGAGTTAGCCTGCCTAAGGGGGAACCTGTAGATTGTTAAGGTCAGGAGGTGAATGAGTCCTCTTTGTTCCAAGTCAGAGTGGGAGCTTTGCGTCTGGAGGTACTGTTCACTTGTGTGTGAATCCTTGGCTGGCTATGAGAGAGTGGGTATCTGCTCCTGAAGAGGACATATTGCTAGCTACCAACAGCTGGGACTGCCATGGTCTGAGCTCTGACCCTGTGCCCAGCATGCAGCTGGTCACTCATGTGCTATCACTTATCCTTACACACCCTGCAAAGTGTGTAGTGTTGTCTGCGTTTTGCAGGCGAGGAGAATGGAAAAGAGACAAGGGAATGAAAGCCTCTTCACAAGTGAATGATCTTACCTCCTACAGTCAGAATGCTTCCTATAGTGAAAAAGGAAGCAGCCACTTTTTTTCTGCTCAGCTCCCAGTGTGTTGGGGTAGAGTAGTAAGGCCAGACTTCAGTTCCCAACAGCTTAATGGGCCGAACCCTCTGAACCTCAGTTTCCCAATTGTGTATAAGCATAAAGTAATGACATCCCCTTTGACTGTGGGAACTAAGAGTTGATGGATATAAACAAGCTTCATTAAGTTTTACTCACATGTTCTAATTGTTCCCACTGTATTTTCTTAGAATGTTTTTCAGTTTTCATTTCGAAAGGAAAATTTTCTTTGGATTAATCTGTTTGCAGCTATTCCATAAAAATGGAGTTTTAAGGCCCCAAGTCACACAGCCAACTCTGCCTTTACCAAAGGAAGGCACAAGAGAAGCCCCTCCTGAGATTGGCAGGGTTGCCTATTCAGCAGCCCCTGGGACATCCAGGACAGTGTTATCAGTTCACTGATGGCACGATCTTTAAATGAAAGCTCAAAAGCAAATGTGTCTGTGATTGGTTTCTTCTCACTTCTTGGATGAGGTATGGTTGTTACTGTGCTATGTTGTTACTTAATGCTGGAGTTCTTTGTCACTTACAGTTAAAAATACCTGTTATAACCCAATATATGTCTGAATGCACGCGCGCACACACGCATCCCCCCCCAAATAATGCTTTCCTTTATTCTGTTTTATCTTTTTGAAAAATTCTAGTTGTGACCCAGTAAATGATTTAAAAATCCCAAATAGCTCACTACCTACAGTTTGAAAAATGCTTTACAGTTTGAAAAATCCATTTTATGACCATTTTGGAAATACTGACAAATAAATGAACTGTACTAGGTGTGGTTCCATTCATTAGTTTTATTTCCAGCTGTATCTCTCTGTTTTTAAAATCTAGTTTTCATATTTTTTTATATACAAACTTTTTGTATATTTCCTTCTAATCTTTCTCTGTGCATTTTTTTAAAACTAAGATTTGTTTTATTGTAGCATTTTAGCATAATAGTATTACATTCTACAACATCCTTTTTAATGAATGTAGGATAGTATTTTTACCAAGGTTTTGACATTTAGATTTCTCATAATTTCTTCACTATTAGGACTGCTTGTGCATCAATTTTTTTCTCTCTTTCTTTTCCTCCCCTCATCACCCATATTTTGAATCATTACCACAGAAAAGATGTCTAGATGTAGAATTACTGTGTTACAGAGTTTTAGGCTGGGCCTGGTGGCTCATGCTTATAATCCCAGCATTCTGGGAGACCAAGGTGAGAGGATTGCTTGAGGCCAGGAGTTGAAGACCAGCCTGGGCAACATAGGACTCTTGTCTCTACAAAAAAATTAAAAATTAGCTAGGTGTGGTGGCACATACTTGTAGTCCAACATACTCTCAAGGCTGTGGCAGAAGGATTCCTTGACCCAGGAATTTGAGTCTGCAGTGAACTGTGATCATGCCACTACACTCTAGCCTGGGCAACAGAATGAAACTGTCTCAAAAAAGTTTGAACATCTTAAGGCTTATAATCAGCAGTGTGCTGGTAAACATTAACAACCGCTCTTGTAAGGTGGAAAGAGTCCTGATTTTGTGGTGTTTTCTTACATGTTTGGTATCAGTACTCTCACCATGGCCAATTTCAGGCTACCAATGTGAAGTCATGGAATGCTGAGTTGGAAAGAGACATTAACAGTTGGCTCCCACAAGCCTGTATGGGCCAGCTCCAGCACACCACTGCATATCATAAATGTTGCCCCAAGACCCTGCCAGCTTCCCTCCTAGCAGCTGTGTACCCTTACCAGCATCAGATGTTATAGTATTGTACACATGTGTTAGGTTGAAAATTGGCCTTAAGTTCTCTCAATGAGATATGGATTCCACCGTCACACTGTAGTGCTGCAACAGATCATCATCTTTCAGGCTAGTTCTTGTGATTATGTTAAAAATAGCTCATGGCTGGGTACGGTGGCTCTTGCCTGTAATCCCAGCACTTTGGGAGGCCGAAGTGGGTGGATCACAAGGTCGGGAGATTGAGACCATCCTGGCCAACCTGGGTAAACCCCGTCTCTACTAAAATACAAAAAATTAGCCAGGTGTGGTGGCGCACGCCGGTGGTCCCGGTTACACGGGAGGCTGAGGCAGGGGAATTGCTTGAACCCCGGAGGCAGAGATTGCAGTGAGCCAAGATCACGCCACTGCACTCCAGCCTGGTGACAGAGGAAGACTCTGTCTCAAAAAAAAAAAAAAAAAGAAAAAGCTCATAACACTATCTCATTGCCAATCTTTTGGGAAAGGTTGCTTGACTCTTCTATATCATTCAGAGCAGTTATTGAAGGTTGAATGTTTGGGAAATGTTCTGTAATTTCAGCAACATTAGCCTTTAATTCTAGGGCTTTAAAATCTGAACAAGAGCGATAGACAAGGAACAATAATTTATATGCCGTTAGTTGGACTCTTTCTTCACTTAGTGATCTCTCCGCATCTTGGCAGCTGTCTGTGACTTTGAAGTGCATTAGGTGTTTGAATTTCCCCCCCATACTTTAAAAATGTGTAATCTCCTTTGTGCATTTCCTGTTATAGCAAGTGTTTGAGTTATAAAGACAGCCATTTGTCATATTAGCATGTTTTATGGGATCAGTGTGGAAAATTTTCTTGCTGAAGACAAGTTGGCAATTTTGCCCTCTTTTCTTTCTCACAGTATACTTTTTTGGCAAATTGCTTGGCAGACTGATCATAACTGAATCATTTCAATGAATTGTATGCTCTCAGCCAAGTAAAAAGGAACATTTATTTCATAAACCTTCTAAGCAGAGTTTCTCTTCAGTTACGTTTTGCTTCTTTCTGCTGATTTGTATTACATGAGAAAGCAATTTGCCCAAGTTCTCACAGTTAATTTGTGTCAAAACCAGTTCTAAAATCAGAACTCCTAGTCAGTGATTATTTATGAAAAACATTTTTTAAAATTCTGTTTACTCATAGTATAAGCTGGCTTACCTAGCATTGTGCCAACTAATCATTACTCCAATGATTGAGATAGATTCTGAGTTGATTCCTAAACCACTTAAAGATTTTGGAGTCACTTTTGAATCATCAAAGAAAGATTAAATTATGTTTAGCTTAGTGTTAAATGGATCTTGTCATTTTCCTATTCAATGCCTGCCTTCTGCATTTATGCCTCCTATGGGTAGGAAAGTTACCCTAAAGCATTTTTTTTTTTTTTTGAGGTGGAGTCTCACTCTGTCACCTAGGCTGGAGTGCAGTGGCATGATCTCAGCTTACTGCAACCTCCGCCTCCCAGGTTCAAGCAATTCTCCTGCCTCAGCCTCCCGAGTAGCTGGGATTACAGGCACATACCATCACACCCAGCTAATTTTTTGTGCTTTTAGTAGAGACGAGGTTTCATCTTGTTAGCCAGGATGGTCTCAATCTCCTGACTTTGTGATCCGCCCGCCTTGGCCTTCCAAAGTGTTGGGATTACAGGTGTGAGCCACAGCACCTGGCCACTTTAAAGCATTTTCAAGCTGACTTGCTTTTGTGGGTAAGTGATAGATTTTCCTCCATAGCATTCCGCTCTGTATAGTCCATGTTAGGTCAGTTTGCTGTAAGAAACTTATTCCTAGTCTTTTCTGCTCAAAAGAAGATGTTTTTTCACTTCTTTTCTACCCCATTACCTTTGTCCTTAGGGTCAGATATATGCTTATTCTTTGCAATTAGGCATCCACTTGTAGCATCTAACATAATATTCTAATTTATATAATTTAGATATCATTTAGTCCAACTCTATATTTGCGCATGGTAAAACCTAGACCCTGAGAACATTTGTAAGACTAGAACTTATCCTTTTGTTTTCTTTGGCACTTAAGAAAAGATAACCTCGAAACTGAAGATAGATAACTGTGTACAGTCACACGCCATATAATGATGTTTCAGTCAACGGTGCACCATATAGACGGTACTGATTCCAGAAGATTGTAATACTGTATTTTTAACGATACCTTTTATGTGTTTAGATTTGTTTATAATACCATTGTGTTACAGTTGCCTACAGTATTCAGTATGGCTCCATGCTCTCCAGGTTTCTAGCCCAGGAACAGCAAGCTATACAAGATAGCCCAGGTGCATAGTGGACTATACAATCTAGGTTTGTGTAAGAACACTCTGTGATGTTGATATGATGCTAAAGTTGCCAGTGTTGCATTTCTCAGAGTGCATCCCATCATTAAGCATGTCTGTCATTGTGATGGATTGGACTGAATGAAGAGGTCAATGAAATTAACTGCAAGAGAGTGTATTTATGTTGTTTTTGTAGTTACCATTTGTTGAGTGCTGGCCTCATTCTCAGTTTCTGTGTTAAGTGCACTTAAGAATTATCCTATAGATGAGGAAATTAAGGCAAAAGAGGTTAAGTAAATTGCTACAGGTTGCACAAGAGCAAGTGATCCAAAATGTTTGATTAAGGGCCCAGGTTTGTGAAGTCATTTGAAAATTGAAATTCAGTGTCTCTGTAGGAATGACATTTTCTAGATTAATACTGCCTAGGTTCTTCCTGAATAACCCATTTAATAACCTTTATGTGTTTTTTGTTGTTTTTTCCTTTTCTGGTTTTGAATAGCCTTTAGATACTCTAATTTTAGCTTTAATATCGTCTATGTTGTTTTGTGACCTATAGGGTATTTTCTTCTTAAACAGTCTCTAAAATTCTGTGATTCTGGAGCTGGAAGAAATCCTTTGAGATGAAAGATTCAACCCCATCATTTTGCAGGAGAGGAAGGAACTTCCTCAAGGTCTTAGATTCAGCTGCAGAATTAAAACATACCTGCCGACTCTCCAGCTAGTGCATTTTTCACTGCACCAGGCATTTTCTTATTGTAAGCTGTATAAGCTGTTTCAATGTTATTGAAATAGAAATGCTAGTTTCTTCCTTCTCCCCCTTTTTACACTAGTTAGAGTTGTAAATGCCTTTTTTTTTGAGACGGATTCTCGCTCTATCACCAGGCTGGAGTGCAGTGGCATGATCTCAGATCACTGCAACCTCCGACTCCCTGGTTCAAGTGATTCTCCTGCCTCAGCCTCCTGAGTAGCAGGGATTACAGGCACGTGCCACCACACCCAGCTAATTTTTGTATTTTTAGTAGAGACAGGGTTTCACCATGTTGGCCAGAATGGTCTTGATTTCCTGACCTTGTGATCTGCCCACCTTGGTCTCCCAAAGTGTTGGGATTATGGGTGTGAGCCACCACGTCTGGTCTTAAATGCTTTTTTTGAATAAAAGCAATGTGAAGTTGAAGTGATGGTTGCTAAATAAATGCCCAGTTTGCCTGGCAGACGCTATCTGTCACGATTGGCAAAGGGGAACAAAATAAAAAGATGTCCCTGGTGGAACAGTACCAGGTGGTGTGGCCAGATGGACCACAAGAACTCAAGGAAGACAGCTTCTTAATTTGGTAGAAGCCCTAGACTGGTAATCTTCTCAAGAGTTCTCTTGCTTACCATAGGAAGCCCTCTTTT